TCTTTTCATGTTACGAATACAATATACAGGGGTGCGCCTCCTCCCCCAAAAATCGATGGCGCAGGTCTTGCATCTCTTGCACAAAACACTCTACTCTACAACTCTAATATTTATTGCCTTTGAATGTGGCAGATTGTATTAATATTTAAATAATAAAATTAAATAAAAAAGAAAACAATACATTTGAATCCTTAAGTTCTACTTCTTTATTTACTCAAGTCCTACTTCGTTACTCAAGTCTTTCGTCGTACTTCAGTTATTTTCAAGGAGTGGAGAATTTATTTTAAAAATAAAGCCAATTGGGCTAATTCCTCTAATCGCCAATATATATATATATATATATATAACTCTGAGTACGCATATATATAATTAGCTTAAATTATTTAGGCAGTCTTTGTTTTCTTGGCAAAAAAACGTAATTGCGGTATATCCATCCGGTTTTCACTTCTACACCCCTTCAAATAAAGTTGAGAGGGTAGACATGTTTTATGCAAATTAAGTTGGTGTTACAGAGGTGCTCTCTGAGGTCTCAACGTTTTCAAAACTTGTATTTATGAATAACTCAAAAAGAATATATATCTTCTTGAAAAAAAAAAATCGAAAATCTAATCATTTTATTAAAAAATGTGACGTTTTGAAATTGGTATCTATGTTCTCGTTTGCTTGTGTTTTTTTATAGATCAAAAACTATAAATCTACCTCAAATATTCCAGACGATCGTTTAAAAAAAAGTGCTAATTTTAGCAAACACGTTTTTGGTTTATTTTCAGTAATGAACCATTGTCGATCGTACAAAAAATTCTAAAATTTAACGTTTTAGTTACGTTTCAGGATACGCAGAATTCGAAAAATGAATACAAATATTTTTATCTGTCCGCCATCCGCGCATTTTCTCCTAAACTGGGCCGATTTTTTTTCAAATTTGTATTTAAAATTAGAGGTCACCTGAGGATGATCCTCCTTCATCTACATTTCTATCCGTCTTTTTCATTCAAGATGGCGACCGAAAAACCTGCGTTGCTATAGACTGTAGCGCTTAAACGAATGTACCGATTTCAATGAAACTTCGCCAAAGTCTTCTTCTCAACGCCCTTTAAATTTATCTGTATAACATACTTCAACGAAAAGAAGCTGGAAAAAAAGTTACGAGGGATGGTAAAATTAGATTCCGAATAACGTAAAAAGTATAAACGAATCTACCGTTAAAACGAATGGTTATGTAAAAGTTATCGAAATTTCTAAAAAAAAATCGTTAAAATAGGACAATTAGAAGCAAAGATATGGTCTCTGGATGTTTTTTATATGTTTTACTACAAAGGTTATATCCTTTGTTTTGGTTTTTGAATGTGTTAATGAAGTAATGCTAATTTGTTTTTAGCATATTACTAATGATCAAAAAAAAAAAAAAGTTTAGTCCAATAATTGGAATCCCTTTTACTTCTTTTTCTTTGTCACTAGGAAGGTTATGTTACTTTATATGTATGATTGTTTAGAAATAATAAACCATTGTGAAATAATTTCCAGTGTTTCTAATTGGGGTCATGCATACATATTTCATGCATAACTTTTTGAGAAATATAAACCATTGTGTGATAATTCGCTAATTTGTATCTGTTTTTCCGAACAAACTGTGACAAAGCTCAGCTGCTTTTTTTTACCGGAGACCTTCCTGAAGGAACGAGGGTGGGATCCGTTGCCCGTGGGCATTGAGAAAGAAACTGGTGGATCTTCTGACCCTGGGAGTAGGCTCCATGTGAAAAGACAGAACCTGCCCTTGGCAGTTGTTGATGGTCATATGATAACCAGGAACTGCAGCCGATTGATTTCAAACTGGTACACAGTGGGACCGATAGCTGGGAGGGCTAAATTCATTGAACATAATTTTCGATTGGAAATCACATTTTCGTCTTAAATAAAATACAAAAAATACTTTTATAGTCGTAATTAATTCAACATAACTTAAATTTGTGGCTAAAATCTAATTTTTAAGAAAATTAAAATCATAATTCCCAAGAATTAATAATTAAAAAATAGCTATCAAAAATATTAATAAAAAGAAAACCAGAACGGAAGTGTTCAAATTTATTTAATCCATTTCCTCTACCTTAAAATCAACATCATAAGACGGTTCATTCTCTGACTGAAGTCTCTCATAATTAGTGTTGCCCAAAATCGGTTTTGGTCTTGCACTTTGCAAGACCAAGACCAAGACTGGTAAAAAAAATCGATTTTTTAAATACAAATTAAGGCAAAATCGTTACTAATACTCGACAATTTTAGTTATTATATGTTAATAATTAGGTATAAGCAATATACTTTTGCATTTAACTCCTCTAATTTTCCATTGGGGCTTAGTTAGTCTTCTCTTATTTAAAAAAATATACTAATGTCTCTATAGTAATAAGCTAATAAGTAACTGCAAGACCGTTGCGAGACTCTTGTGCAAGACCAAGACCATGACTGAGTTTGCAAGACCAAGACTCGTCTCGGTCTCGCATTTGGGCAACACTACACATAATCGCTCCCTAACTATAATTTAAATTTCCCTTAAAACGAAAGATAAATAACTGAATTATCAAAAGCAGTCTTAAGCAGCGACGCACACCGGCATTGATTTACACTATAAATAAAGTAATGGTGGAACTGTTTGTCAACTGGTGGGACTGAAGGCCTGCTCGCCCAAACCTCCCTTTCCTTACACTACTGTGAGAGTTTAAATGAACTTCGAAATTTTACTAGGCCACTTTTCAGGTCAACTATGTATAAAAAGGATGATATATTAAATTTTTAATATTTTGAAACTTGTTTTTGTCCTCCTAGATCGGCGATCGGTCCCACTGTGTGGTAGTTGCTCGAGATCAATTACTCACCCGTACTTTATCCTGTGCGGGATTTATGTATATTCACGTTTTTTTTCAAGCTTTATGTGCCTGTAGACGCACGCCTACGTGACAGGAAATAGCGCGCAGAGGCATGAGTTTGTTTCAAACCTGATCTGAGCAAATTACCAAATCATCTGCGATCGCAATCATATCTTCTTTCGGCCGCCATTTTGTTTCAAGATAGTGAGTTACAATTAAACGTTACTGAAAATTTGTTAAAGGCTCTTAATTACAACAATAAGAATTAACCATTTTTCTATGAAAAAGTGGACAACATATCTACAGAACTATCTCAAATTACAATTAATTAATTGGTTTTACTTGAATATATTTTACCGACATTTTAAAGAAAAATATAGATAGATGAAACCCATTTCTTTTTCCTAATTTACTTAGTTCTTAAAAATACAGTTTAATTAATTTGAGGCTTACTACTAAACAATAACTTCAATTAAAAAACAACACCTCACGATGCCCTGTCAATACATAAAATCATGATGTTCATCATTATTAACAATACAATCATTTTTTAAGCTGCCATTGACAATCATTCTACGGCCAAATGGAATATGAAACGACCGTGATTTGAAGTAATCAAGTGGATTTTTTGTTTCTATTGGGAATGGCTGCGCCATTTCAAAATTGAATCCACCTTGATTGAAAACTGATGGAGTGAAACAATGGACTGTACAGTTTTGAGTGTAAGCTCTAATAATAACTACAATAATAATAAAAATTGTTGAAATTTACGATATAGCTTGTATTAAATATTGATGCTAATTACAATTTTAAAAAATGTCAAAAAAAAATATCAGTTAGGAGGAAATTTTAAAAGGTTTAAAATCTCCATTATTTTTGTTAATCAAATAGTTGAATGTATTAATTAAAAAGAAATAAACGTTTTCTGCGAATTTATAATTTCTAATACTCTTAAATTTCCACTTATTTAAATAAAAGTTTAAATTACGTAATGTCCTTGCCCATTCTAGAGGCGCTATTTATATTCCATTAATTCTCAAGAACTATATTAATTTGCATATAAAAATATTTGTTTACTTTAAATATTATAAACTATGTATTCAAAAAACAATAAACCACTTTATTGAGGTAAGGTGTATCCAGTGTTATCGGTTAGGTATTGCGGTTAGCTAAGTTCTTAATTCCGCCCTCCTGACTGGTGGTACTATATTAAAAAATAATGTTTCAAATTATTCCTTAGGGTTATAGTAGTAGTATTTAGGATTAAAGAATACCTCTGAGAATCGTGTTTAGGAGCCATGAAACCACTATATGTGGGGATGAAATGAAACAATGGAGTGCATTTACGAATGCATTTGGTGCCGCGAATACGCCACCAAACACACAAAAGGGCATTTTTAGGGTGTAAACCTGGCTTAGCAGTACTTCGTAGCGATTCATTTGGAGAGAGCCACTGCCTTTTTGCGTTTTGGATTATCATAGAGGACCCATTTTTTATTTCCGGTGATCAAGCTACCAAAAACGCTTCTGTATTGTGCCGTTGAAGCAATAATTTGCATGTGGTTGATCGGTGGATGATCGACCAAGGCTGGTTAAGACTCTTTGACGGTTCCCCGATTGTCTGACACCGATTTACTTCAACTTTCGCCCTTAACACGTCATTGTCTAACGTAGTTGGTTTTCCTGATCAATACCAGTCGGAAAGATCAAGATTACCGGATTTGAACTTGAAAAAACACCTTTGGAATTTACGAACGACAAATGCGTTTATATAAACACTGCAAATGGTTTTTATAGCAATTGTTGCGTTTATACCGTTTCGAAACTCAAAAAGTATGCAATGTCAAATTTGTACCTCTTCTATTATTTGCCCTACCATTTCACCAAACATTTTAAACTTAATTATTTACAACTACAAAGTCACTATAACCTTAGAATGTCTTTGCCACGACTATGATGCACACAATGAGCTGAAAAATGACAATCAGATAGTGATATACGTAGGAATGACATTACTTTCCAGTCCCTCTAATTTTTGTGAATGTACTTTACATATGCATAACCTTTATTTATATAACATAGGTTATATTTATGAACCTCATTTCTTGTATTTTATTTATTTATTTTTTTTTTTTTTAGTTTATTAGTGAAAATTGCGCACATGATGCTTGTCATATTCTATTATGACATTCGAGGATGGACAACACTGGATATATTTCAGCAGCATGCCAAGAAAAATCCACAAAAGGTTGCATTTATTTGTGGTGAAAATTATATCCAGTACAAAGAGGTGAGTGTTAAGACAGTGGTGCATGTGTTAAGACTAACTGCATTCTTCCAAAATAAGCAATTAATACATCTAGTCTTTGTCTTTAATAGGCTTCATTCCAGTTGGTGCATTGTCATCCATTAATATTTTTTCTTTCAGATGGATGAGTTTAGTAATAGAGCTGCAAGGTTCTACTCTTCTCTAGGTATTGCTAAAGGAGATTCTGTTGCCATATTTTTGGAAACCAGAGTGGAGTACCCTTCAGTTTGGCTTGGTTTGATGAAGATAGGTGGAGTTGGTGCCCTCATTAATACAAATCAGAGAACACAAGTTCTTGAGCATTCTCTCAGAATTAGTGGAGCCAAGTATTTGATCTATGGGACAGAACTAACTCAAGGTATAGATACATCATCTGTGATAAATAAATTGTATTCCTATAAATATAAAAAAAGTTTTTATATGATGTTTTTGTTTAGGGATGGGTGGTTACACTAATACTCATTCATGCTGATAATGGCAGTAGGGAGGTATGAGCCCAGAATTTGGACCATCTGTTCCTTTTAGCCTACCTCTAGAAAACCAATATAAGCTTATTTCCTCTCCATATATATTAGAATATTCTGTTTTTCCTAATGAAATTCATTATGGCAAGAGGTATTCAATGGAGGAATTCTTATATTCTAGAATGTTGTTGGAGCCCAGATGACTATATCTTTGTGATATGTGCTATTCACAATCTGATATCCATATTTGATCTAATATTATGTTCTTGTCCCCTTAAGGTGGCAGGTGCCGTTACCTACTACTTCTGATAGTCAATTAATTGGAGTTAGGCATTGCTATCTGTTACTTGTTTTTTGAAAGAAAGAGTTTTTAAAATTAAATGCTTCACACCTTGCCTGCTCTTCTCTTCTCTATGTTCAGGGTAGAAATTCTATATATTGACATTGTTATGAGATGTCTAATAAAGGTGTTGGCTCCCTTGGAGGAGGAGAGGGGGGGGGGGTTAAACTACTTACAAGATGATTGGGATTGTCTGTGATTCCTTTGTGACCAGCAGACTTAATTAGCTTAAGATTCTTATAATATTTAATTTAAGCCATGGTGGCCAGGTAGGTTAAAGCATCACTTTATCATTCTCGAGTGTAGAGGTGCTGGTTCAAATCTGGGCTTGGTAGGTCGAAATTTATTTTGTTGTGGACGCATGGAATGAATCATGACCTTCCCAGTATGCCATTAAATTTCTCCAATGATAGCTTGCACTTTATCATCAGTGTAAAGGTACCATACCGTATAGTGGTTCTCTAGGGGTTGAACAGCTGAGTTGGTAGTGATTCCAGTCCTTTTGCTAACTGTTGATAACTTCAGTGACTGCAGATAATATACACACTAGATAATATGAAATACATCTGCCTGAAATACAGTGACATATTTGCTGAAGGAAAGCTTAAATTTATGTCCAAGTCCTCTATGTAGACTCTTCCAGAACAGTCAAGTCTTTCCTGTATCCGTTGGTTAAACACTGGAAGTTGTTTTTTAAAGGTTATATTGTATTAAGGAAGAGTTCTTTAATAGAACTGTAAGTCATGACACTCCCAATTATGTTTTCTTGGGTTTTCTTCACATTGGGTATATTATTATATACTGTTACAATTTTTTTTCACAAGCAGTATAAAACCATGCAGTCCTGATTTAGCATTTTAATTTACAAGCTTATAAATAATTAATAGCATTTTAATTAAACTTATAAAATTGATCATTATTAGGGTCAAACTGCCTATTGGTCATTTAGTTGAATGTAACCATATTAGGTAATTACTTTTACATTATACTAGGCTATCAGTTATTGTATTTGGTTATGTCATTTATGATCATGATTTATGATTCATAATTTTTGTGAAACTTAAAACTCTTGAAATGGGTAAATTTATTGTGGAAAATATGTATTGAATATCACCAGAGTAGGAAAAATAAATTTATATAATTCATTGCTAAAAATGGGACTAAACATGTTTAGGCTTGGTGTTTTTTTTTTTTTTTTTTTCAAGATAATAAAGAAATGAATATGATGTCTTACATATAAGGAAAATGAATTAGATGGTTAAATCATAAAGAAGTTTCAGGAGAAGTGTTCCAATTTATAAAATATGATACTCTGTATGTTTTCCTTTACTTTTATATATTTATATTACACAACATTAGTATATTGTATATAATTGGTATGTTGATTAATAATACAAATATGAGTATAGAAAACAAAAAAACACTATTGGTCTTGTTGTTTTAATAGTAATCTTGTTTAAAATATTCAGTTTCGTTCTTGCTCTTCTATCACCTGTAACATCAACATTGCTTGCTGTTGTTTGGTCATATAATTGTGGTACAACAAAATCTTCTGAGATATGACTTAAATTAAATTTTATAAGTATTATTGTTCTGTCCTTTTTTTTTTTAGCTATGCTTCAGTTTGATGAGAAACAACTCACTTGCATTTTGTTTGTTGATATTAAAACATTTGTTACCACACCAACAATATCTGGGATATAAGGCTATGTAAGCATAAAATCACTCAGATATGAGTGAGTTGGCAAGTAATATGTTAAATTGATGTGCAATATGGTACCATTCATTTCATTTTAAATTCGCAGAAACCATATGTTATTTAGAAATTCAAAAATCAACTCAGACCAATGAAACTGTTTTAAATCTACTCCATTCTGTGCCTTTCATAGATTTAATCATATGAATTTCGTTTCTGTAGGGCTATGAGTTCTGAATATTGCATCCTTATCATAATTGTTTTGTCTTGATATTGTTTTTATTCTTCTTGAATCTTAATCCATCATGTTCAAGCAGTCAGTTGTACAATATTTTTTCTCTCTTCTGTCATGATGTCTTGGGAAAAATTCTTGTAGTCAGTCCATAGAGATTAACTGGAAGTGAGGTTTTGATTTTATGTATTTTGAAATGGCAGCCAGAATAGTGGTTATTTCTTCTCAAGTTAGATGTTCTTTCTACTGGAAAAAAAATATATTAAATGCATTGTATATGGAAAAATGTAATTAATAAATCAAATTAATCACTCCAGCTACTTTGTTGTTCAATTTTAGCTGGAGTAGGTCGACTGATTTTGAGGAGGTAAATTGGGTTTGGAATTCAGATAGGTTAACTTGGTATAAGAAGGATTTAGGATAGAACATAAAATTAGGAGTTGTGCAAAAGTTAAATATGCCTTATCTAAGAAATGTAATATCTAGTGATCTTAAAGATAAATCAAAGGAAGTCTTGTAAGTCATTTTAAGTTATTATGCATTGATGCCTTAATGATTCACACACCTGCAGTTTCAGATAAAGGAAAATTTATTAGATATCAAATGGTTATGTTGTATCCATTGAAATTATGTATATTGGATACTGTTTAGACTTTATATACATTGTTTTATCAGTATTGTCATACTTGTCAAAATCAGACATTAAATAGGTTAGCTTATCATCTGTTTAAATAATTGATTTCAGCTTTGAAGGACATCAAAGATTTACTTAAGGACTTTAAACTTTATCATATTGGAAATGGTGAAGCTCTGGAGGGATCAAAGAATTATCTTGAAGAGATTTCAAAATTCTCCCCAAAGCCATTGGATAATCCTCTAAAAATGAAAATCACTGATAAATTTTTGTACATATATACATCTGGAACAACTGGTCTTCCTAAAGCTGCAATAATGACTCATGCAAGGTATTTTTAAAAAATTGTATTTTTATATATATTTTATTCGAGCATTTGCAGAAATCATTGATACATCTTTCGGGTTTAAAAAATTTAGTTATTTTAAAAAAATTAGAATATTATAATAAAAAAATTATAGATTAAAAAAGGTTGTGGCTTAGTTGTAAATTGTTTATCTTTAGCTCTATTAATCTATTTTATTTGAAGGCATAAACATTACAAAATAATAACTATACTATGTACCAATAAAGCTGTGGGATGAAAGCCAGTAGATCTGGTTTTTCTTTTTTTTATGAGGGATTAGGTTATAAGCCATCAAATCAGGTAGAAGTGCTGTTATCTCAAAGCTCCCTGACACACTCCCACGTCCTGGAGGTTGAGTTGCTTGGTTCCCACCTGCAACAAAAAGAGCTACCAGACAGTTAGCTCACATCATAATGGGGACTAGTCATTCATTGGTTCTCTACAGTGTCCATATAGGATTCTGCCCTCCTTTAACAGCTTGATCCATTTGGTTCTATCTGTAGCCTATCTTCTCCAGTAGTGTACAGCTAAAGCCTTCAGGTCTGCCTCGACATCATCCAGCCATTGCAGTTGAAGCTTCATTTGTTCTACCACTGTGCAAAAGATTCTCTGCATAATGTTGACTGTTGGCAGGGCTGAACCTGACTACCAATGATAAATTAAAAGTCTGGAATGGTACCATCAATATTTTTCTTTTGAAATTAGCTCAGAAAAATAAATGTGGTATCAGAAATGTAAACCCGGCTATTCTATTAGCCTTATGTATTATCTATATGCATTAAAATAACTTACTATAACCTCCTTCTACACCTCCAGATAAAATAAATTAATGGAGATGAATAACAATTAACACTTTCTTTGAAATTCATATTTTGTACTTACTTTGTCTTGGCTTATAATTTTTTCATGGATTCTTTTCTCAATGTTTTTATTAATAGTTTTATATAACCAATTCAGTTTTTCATCATCAAAGTCTTATCGATAATAAGATATCAAATCTAACAATGTACTTCATTAAAAAAAAAAATTCTATGTTTTAATCTAAAGTTATAAGTGGATTAAAATTAAAGAATAAAGAAGCGTTAAATTGTTCAAATCTATTGCATACTGATTCACAGTATAAATGTTACTAAACAGTCGAATAATTGTTAAAATGAACTTCTAGGTATTGGGTTTTGGTTCTTGCTTGCATTAAATGTTTCCGACTCAGGAGTTCTGATATTGTTTATGATCCCCTTCCTTTATACCATACTGCAGGAGGACTTTTGGGTATGTAAGATCTCAAATATGTGTTATTTTAAATTATTAGTAATTTAACAGTTTTCATTATAATTTTTTTTTATTATTTAGGTGTTGGTCAAGTTTTGATGAATGGTTCTACTGTTGTCCTGAGGCCGAAGTTCTCAGCATCCAATTTCTGGGTAGACTGTATTAAGTACAACTGCACTGTAAGTGATAGAATTTATAATAATAAACTGTTTGAGAAAGAGATTGTTTCTTACTGCTGAAAATGTTATAGGCAGCCCAGTATATTGGAGAAATGTGTAGATATCTCTTAAGCCAGCCACCTAGACCTACTGACAGGCATCACAAAGTGAGGTGTGTTTTCGGAAATGGTCTCAAATTTCAGGTGAATTAATTTAAAAACATAATTCTGTTCTGTTAGAATTTATAAATTATATATTTAACAAGAAATCTAATTAACACTCTGAAGTTTGCATCGGATCTGAGATATCCGTCTAGTAGCGGTTTATTTGATGTATTTTTATAATTTATATAGGGAGGACCCTCCCTCCACGTAGTCTCCTGGTTCTTGGAGTCTTAAATTTCAGTAGTGGGGTTACCTCTGTTACGTCCAATTTTGGTGCCAAAACTTGCGGATTGACAGCTTATGTGGATATTTTTCATGGAAAAGGGATGCAATGGCAATTGGTATAATTGAAATCAAAGCTTTTATGGGGCTGTTATATATTGTAGAAATGCATTTAGCCGGGAAAACAAATATGCTTGATTTGTGGGATTCAAGTGCCGCTATTATATTTCCTTCCACTATGAGTGTACGAAGGTTTCAATTTTAACTTTGATCCCTAAGATTTGACGCCCAATAAACATGTCAACAACGTAAATAAATAGGCCTACTGGCACCTGTCTGGAACATAATTGATGTTTTTCAGAAACCGCCAACCTTGTTATTCAGTTGGAGCAAACGTGGCTATCGATAAGAAATTGGAGGCCTTTAGAGACTGATTTTCATATTGTGATGATGTTCGTATTAATTATTTTTGTATCCAATCTAATCCTATTACAATTTTTCTTAGTATTCAGTGATTTTTGTGTTCATATTTAATGGTATAATATAGAATTTAATGTTCAAGTTCCTAATTTTGTCAACATATTTTTCTTTTTGAGTTTGATATTTTTTTTTAAATTATATAACTGTGTTTTACTCAATAAATATATTTTTAAAAACTTATCTTATACCTTTTTCTTTTAGTACAATGAGAAATTTATTGGTATTTTTGATCAATAAATTCATTTAGTGAAGTGGATCTCTCAGATCCGTAGGGACCTTCCATGTGACTCTAAGGCTAGCTACCTTTGGAGTCTTAATAAATAAGTCTCATTTGACTTCCATCCCCGTAATGAGTGTTAATTTTGAAAAAATAATTGAGTTATTTCTCACACGAAGGTTAAATATATTAAACATTTTACTTTTAAAATCTTATCCTTATCATCCTGATGAAGGATAATACTTAAGCTGAATTACCGACACAATAAAATGAGTTTTCCTGTTTTGTTTTTTTTTCTTTTTTTTAATCACTAGTAAATAATGATTCCACCATTATTAATCTAAGGTACTTGCTGTAAGAATCTTACACCTGTTAGCTTGATGAAGGCTTAAAACTTATGCAGAAACAACACATACATCAAAGTAATTTTTCTTTTGTTTTGTTTTTATCACTGGGTGCACCCCCCAACTGACTTCTATGATAATAATTTTATTTTAAAATATAATTCTTGGTTTTTCGTTGTAATTATTCATTTTATCAATATTTTGTTTTTATTTTCTGTCAGTTTACCTTATATATATATATATATATGTGTGTGTGTGTGTGTGTGTGTGTGTGTATGTATATGTTATAACCCTGAAGTTAGTTGTGAATAAATTTAATTTGATTTCACTTCATTAAAATTCCATTAATTATATTTCAGGTTTGGGAACCCTTTGTAAATAGGTTTGGTATTGAACAGATTGGAGAATACTATGGAGCAACTGAGGGAAATGCAGCAGTCAGTGAGTATTATCTTCTGTAAGTTATGTATTGCATATGTACCAGAATAGCAATAATTCTATAATTTTGTGTAGTTAATGCCTGGAACTTCCCTGGTGCATGTGGATATATACCATGGTTCGCCAAGCCATTCTATCCAATCTCTCTCATCAAAGTAGATGAAACAACTAATGAACCTATTCGTGGACCAGATGGACTTTGTATTGAGTGCAAGACAGGTAGCAATAAATCTATGTTATTTAAGTTATATGTTCTTTATTTGAACTTTTTATCTATGTTATTACTGTTTCATATTTTTTTAGGTGAGCCAGGACTCCTAGTTGGTAAAATTCAGAAAAGGCCTACTGGACATTTTAATGGTTATGTTGACAAGGAATCTACGGAGAAAAAAATTTTGAGGGATGTTTGCTCAAAAGGAGACAAAGTATTCAATTCTGGTATATATATTTTTGTTTTATTTTATTAATTTTCAATCATGTTATATCATTTAAAAACACCAATTTGTGTTATAATTTATATGCTTAAACACCAAAGAACTATATTTTTTATGGAAAAATTGAAACATAAATGGACGGTTGTAGATTCCCTTTTAGTTAGTATATTGTGTCTCAACTCCAATATTATCTGTACTAACTATGTGAACTAAAAAAATAATCATAACCTGTTTCAATTCCATTGTCCTTTAAATATTAATTTTTGTTTAATTAAAATTGATTAAATATGAACAAATCCTTCCCACAAAAACAAAATACCGTTCGAAGTTTGTTAGATGTACTTGCCTTCTAACGGTTGAAAGATGGTGATTGAAATTTTTTATCACTTAAATCTTTTCAACTGTTCTTTTTTGATCAATGAAAGAGAAATTCTCAGTTCCATCTATTTACATATAAAATTAATTTTCTGAACTATAAAAAGGTCCAATGCAACAAAATCTGTATTCGAGCCTTTTTCTTTATAACTACTTTATTTTCTTGATATTAGGATTATTATTATGGACTATTGTTTTTTTTATAGGATTCCAAAGCCAAAAAGTTATTTCATCTTAAAAAATTATTTTCTTGGATCACTATATAGAATAATAGATAGTAAATACATTTAATTATATAAATTGATAATATAGGGAAATACTTTATTTAAAATAATCAAAGATAATATTATTCTATAAGAATTGATCAGTAAGAGAATATCTTTTTTGTTCTTCTTATATATCTCAAAATTCATGATACAATTGAATTAATATACCATCCTCCCTACAGCCCTATCTTCCACCCTACATCAAACACCATGGATAGTTTTTAAAAAGAATAATTTTTTGTTAAAGTTTCTCTACTTTATCTAGTAAGTTTAATTTTTTTTTATTAGTTTTATGTATATATCTGATGATTATTGAAAATCTTTATTATCTTCAGAAAAAAAAATGTATGAAGTCCATTTGTATTTATCTCATTTCTGATTGTTCTAATAATTGTTTTATAAATTTAATTTTTACCCTTTCAAAATGGCTCTAATCCTATGAATTCAGGTTGCTAACAATCTCAGGTTAAAATTTTTGTAATTTGAAATTGGACATTGTTAGATATCATCATTTGAACATATAAAACTGTGTAAAACGTTGGATAATGTAAATTTTCTGTCATTTTAATACCCTTGGTATTTTCATTGGCCTTCTTGATGATCTAATTATTCCTATTTGATTTCATTGTCTATTTAAAAAACATTACATTTTACAATTATTACAAATTCTAGACAAGTTTGGATGATGTAATGATTTCAGATACTTTTAAACTTAAACATAATCCTTGAAAAAAAAGAAGCCTTATCAAGGATATGCCTTTGTTAAATTTTAATAGATTCAAGATGAGAGGATGTATAATCTATATGAGCCCTTCTTGATAACTTTTATTTTAAAAATATGTAATTCTTTTAATATGTATTATTTAAAATTTTAAATAACTTTTCAAAATAGTAAGCTTTTTGGGGAAGAGGATAATTAATATATTGATTGTTAAATTGATAATAAAATAATATTTTACGTAGCACATCATCCAAAACCTATATTTGTTATTTTTTTAACCATAAGTTTGGTTCCTTTGTAGTTTTATTTATGTATAAGTAATAAACAAAATTACTTTTCCTAACCAATGAAATGACTGAACCATTAGATTTAAAATTTTTTGAGTATTCAAAAATGTAAAATATGGCATTAATGATGGAAAGATAAATTTGATGGTACTCCAATTTCCAAAATTTTTGTTACCTTCTTTTCCTTAGTAAAATATTAGTTTGTTTTTGTTAGTAAGAATACTATGATTGGTTTTAATTTCTAAGTACAGTGAGGGCAAATCAAATATAAATGGTAATTTTTAAAAATATGTTTATAAAGCAATGTTATTTATATAAATTGTTTATACACAAACCATACTGTCGGCATTTCTCAATGTAGTCTCAAGCATGACCTACACAGATTTGGAAGCTTTCTGTTCTCAGTACAGCCATAAACAACCAAGTAGGAGGTACATTCATCTGTTGCGCTCCTCTTAATTATAAACTTTTTTTACCAATGAAGACATGAAACTATCACAAATTGTTACTCATTTATAGAGAATTTTGGGGATACTACACTGTCCCAAAATTGAATATATATGCGGGTCAGTGAAACTAAGGGTGGGTGAGAAACAATTGAAAATGTAGTTCATTATTAATACCTAAAGACAAATTTAAGATATTACAATAATTTTACTTTTCAATAGTTTATTGAATCTGTTCACTGTTAAAGAAATCTTAACAAACATCGGAATAAGATGAGATTTGTACAAGAAAAAAGTAAGGTATACCCATTAGAGATTTCATTCTTCTCCATGACAACGCCTCACAGAGTGATCTTGATTACAGACAAATTGGAAAAAATGGGCTGCGAATTCTTCAAAACACCTATCTTATAGTTCTTATTTATAAACTTTAAATAAACGTATGTTTAACAATATATTACAACAATTATATCATATTTAGAAATAAGATCTTAAAAACAATTTCATTTTGGTTTGAGACTACAGAAGTTTTAATTATAAACGACATACCATTGAATTCCACTTTCTCGTCTATTAGTGTTTAATCCTAATAGGCAAGGCGGGTCCCCCTAGCAGACTCTTAATCTTCTGGCGACAAACCTGTTTTATAACATGATTGAGTAGTCTCCTTTGTCACTATCTCTGTACATCATTCCTTGTTCCAGGACCCAGTCAAAGCACCTATGATTAATGTAAACGTAGTTAAAAATCAATTTTAATTGACAAGTTATTAAGATTTCTTCTGGTGTTGAAATATTTTGCGGATTTATAAATGGTATTTATAAGAATATTATTGATGAATTATAATATTGCTACAAAAACCTTTTTTTCTTTTTCAGGGGATATTCTTGTCAAGGATGAATGGGGATATGTCTATTTTAAAGATAGGACTGGAGATACTTTCAGGTATTTTACATAATTAAATAATCACCAAATTCTTAGTGCTCTTCCAAATGGAAAACAAATAACAGCAACATTATGAATTTTAAAACTATTCTATTAATACAATTTAACATTTTTCTTTTATATAAATTACAATTTTAAAAAGAAGTGACATTTTGGACATTTTCAAACAATAATTAAATTGAAATATTGTATTGTGTTTTTAAAACATAATTTATTAAAAGATTTGTTTAAATTTTATCGAGAAAATCATTTTGGAATTCATAGTTGTCCAATTTTAGTCTTATGATCATTAAATCAATTGTTATCAATATTTTAATGTCCCAAATTGTATAATAAGCAATCCTAATTTAAGGTATACATCACATTTATAATTTGGTTATTACTTTACAGATGGAGGGGGGAGAATGTAGCTACAACAGAAGTTGAAGCCATTATTAGCAATATTGTCGGACTGAAAGATGCTACTGTTTATGGAGTAGAGGTAAGATTTGATACTATTTTATTTGAAATATTATGCTGTCTCATTTCTAGAGAGTTGTTTGGATTACAGGTGTTCATTAAAATTACATACAATATTTTTTATTATTTAAATACATACATATTTTTATATTTGCTGGATCCACACGTGTATATTTATTTGAAAACATTGAATTTGTATGAGTTATATCCAATTATTTTAAAGAATTCACATTATTTTTCTATATTTCTTCCTTATATATTATAAAAAAATATAAGTGGATTTATAATTTTAGTTTATTTATTTGATTTATGTCTTTGTTTATTGATTACTATTATTTTTATTTATGGTTCAGATTTTTTGTTTATAAGACTAACATAGATTTCCTTTCCTGTATTGTCTTATTATATTACCGAATTTTTTTTTACACTATTTCTCACCTTTTTTTAAAATATGTTTTGATAATTATGTTCATACTTATGCATACATATAGGTTCTAAAGAACTACTATTGTTTGGCACCAAAAATATTAAGAAACCAAAGAATTAAGAAACCAACCAATAAAAATCAAGATTAATTCAGGCCACAAAACCAATTACTTTAAATAAATAACTAATCCTACTTTCGATTCCCATCCAATTCATAAAAATATATATATTTGGCATGCAGCTATAGTACGAGTAAAATTTTGAAACAATTGGTACTGACTTTAGGAGTAAAGTGGATTCAAATATTTTACTAAGAAGAAACAAAGCTGAAATTTTTATTTCTCACCTCGAAAAACCTTTCAATACGAATTTTCAAATCAATTGAAAAATTCAAATTTTTTGTTCAAAATACCGGCCTAGCCTTTTTTCATAAATCACAAAAGTTGTGATAACTTCGAAATAGATCCACTTAATCATATGAAAATTAGCTGGAATTTAGAGCCCTGTAATATAAACAAATGTCACAAACCAGAAACATGCAAATAAATTATGCTTGGAGATAAAAATAAAAACATTGTGGAGACTTTTTCTTTCTTTATTCCTTATAATGGTGTCGAGGTATATTTGCAAAGAGGTTATATGCAAGTTACCAGAAGGCCTCTACAGTGTGTGTTCAATGTTGAGGGGAGATGACTTGAGTGGATGAAGGAAGATGAATAGATGGATGACCTCGAGTGACAGGCGGATCAGCACCCAATCACTCTCGGCCTGTGGTGTAAGAGATCGAGCTTAACACTCCGCAAGGATGGTAACCACAACTGGAGGGATCAATCTCCTGACTTAGTATATAGGACAGCTAATGGACGGATCAGCATCCAACTTGCATGGAGTTAGAGAAGAGGAAAAAGGTAGCAGGATATTGTTAAATAAGAAGAACAGACTTAGGTGAACCAAAAGCGTATATGAAACATATACTGACCCTCTGCATAAAGGTGTACACCCTGAAGGGATGGAGATCCGAAGACTTGACAATTTGAGATTTGACTGCAGTATTCATTCTGCCAAGACTAAACCGGCTACCACGAACCGTTACAATAACAGTTATTTTTGAGCTTTGATCAGTATATGTTATAGACATTAAACTTTATTAATAAATTTTTTGTTATTTGCCAATGATTAATTCCAATTAACAACAATTGAATTTATTTGTTGTATTATCAAATTGCATGTTTACAAGTTTAGTAGTTAACGTTTCGGGATATTTACTCCCATCTTCAGAACCACAATCCCAATGATCTTGTGGATACATGGCTTAAATTTAATGTGCTCCATCATCAGTTTCTGATTCAAGTTATAATAAATCTAGGTATATAAAATCTAGAGCAACATCTTGCTTTTAGACTAATTCAGACAGACACCCAATAATTAGTCTAAAAGAGGGAAGGCGAACTCGTTCCTTGTAGTAAGAATGGGAATCTGGTGCCGTTACAATGGCATAATATCTAAAAGTTATTGTTATGGTTTTGAAGAGCAATCATTTAGCTTTCTAAAGGTTGTAGTAACATTGACTTAAGAGATAATCCTGAAGAGTTATGAATATTTTAGGAAACGGCATTAAAAAAAATCCTCCCTTAGAATTAAGTCCCAACATTTTCATTTTTTGATTTTTGAAGAATTTAAGCAGACCTTAAAAATGAATCTGATTTTTTTTTTCATAACAAAAACTTACATTACCTACTTTAAATACTAGTGTCTAGGAGTTTTTGTAATTTATATACAATTAGCATATGTTTCTTGTTTTACATTAAAAAAAAATGATTGATATATAAGAACTTAAAAAATCCATGCAGGGCAAAGTCAGAAAAAAGTATAAAAGAATAATAAAATTTTATAAAATATAATTTTTCATGGCTCCTAGGGTGCATTGGCAAACACTTTCGGGCATGGGTCTAATATTTTTTGACCAAGTAGCACCAAAAAAATTTCATTGATATCGGTGACCTCACTTCCGCAACTTCCCCTCGTTACATATTTTATGGAATTGTTTCATATGCAATTCATGAAAAATATTCTTGGGTTAAGGAGAAGGATTTCCCTGTTCTGAATATATTACATATTCTATATTATGTAATTTTAACTTCATATTTTTGTTGGTTTAGCTACCTGATGTTGAAGGACGTGCTGGGATGGCTGCTATAGTTGACACTGAAGGTCGTTTGGATCTAGAAAAATTATCTGAAGGAATTCATAGAGACCTACCACCTTATGCTAGACCAGTCTTCATTAGAGTAATTCATAGCTTACCTATCACAAGTAAGTTAAGCAATATATTTACGAAACAGAATTATTATTTCTCATAGTAGTTAATCAATTATTCTTATTACGCTATAATTTCCTTTTTAATATTAAACAATAAAATTAGTTTAAAAATTAAATTAATACACTAGTCCATACCATAGAAATATATTTATGTGTATATTACATTGATCTCTCCTCTTCATCATTGAATGTCTCAAAAAAAGAAATCTGATAGTCCATGGTACAGACCCCTTTTTATCAAATTATTAACATCCTGCTGAAACTTCGGAATTGGGACATTTTCAAACTTTTCGGCTATTTAAATCTACTAAAAAATCGTAAATACCCATTCGCTTTCCACTTAAATCTACTGTAACAAAATAACAAACAACAACTATTACAACAATAAATAACAACTTATTTTCCCATCATTGTGAGAATTTCAGTTTACTTCAAAAAGGTAATGTTTTCAATAAGCTTTCCTACAGGAAAAAAATTGTTGTTTTTGGAAATAGAGCTAGAGTTTAATTCATCTTTGGTGAACTATTAGCCCCTTCTCATAATCTTAGATTTGGTCTTAAGTTAACATTTGGTAGTAAGCTCCTTAATTGTTTTATAACTTTACTTTCTTTTATATTGTTTTCATCATCAGGGTCATAAAATAGACCAGGCCTGAAACATGTTTATTTGTATCATTCTCCAATACCAATCAATAACTAGTAATTTTCAATATCATATATATATATATATATATATATATATATATATACACAAAATATAGTCTTAATTTTAATTTTCTATTAGAAAACATTATTCTGTACATCTAATAAAATTTCTATTATATTAAACAAAAGTCACAGTTAAAAAAATATATTAAGAGCCCTCAGTTTATGTTCATGAAATTGGATGGTAACTAAATTTTTAAAAAATTCACAAAGCAATAAAAATTTAGGGAAGACATTGTTTAATGAGATGCAATTGCAGTACTCACATCAGTGAGATTATCTTAATCTCTTGCCCAACATAAGGTGAAATTTTCATTTTAAATTTAAGTTTTAAGTTTGTCATTTTTATTCTGAACATAAAATTATTAAGTATGAAATCAATGTTTTACTTCATCATTTTTATTGTCTGTGATACTTCTTTAATCCTAATAAAATAATTTTGATGGATTTTAGTATGAAAAGGATAAAAAATGGTCATATTTTTATTTATTGAAATATCTGTATTTTGAATTTTTTCAATGAACCTTCATGTTAGATAATTTGAAATTCAACTATACTTGGTCCCTATTTAAAAATAACCTTTGCTGGCAGAATGGCAGACTCCACCTTAGTTCCTGAGCCTTATTTTTTAATATCATAACATTTTAAGAATCTTAATATTTTTAAGCTAGTTTAGAGTTTAATTATACAATGTAATTATGTTGCATTATTCTTATGAATGATGACTTGAAATTATTGTTCCAGGCACATTTAAGATACAGAAGGTTTATCTGCAGAAGGAAGGATACAATGTTGACAAAATTAGTGATCCTATTTATGTATTTGATGCGAAATCTTCTAAATACATTCCTTTCACAAGAGAACTCTACAATGATGTACTTAGCAACAAATTAAGACTTTGAATAAATAATGTTAATAATTGTATAATTTTTGGTATCGAAATGATTTTTTTGTTAAATAATTTTTGTTTTAAATATAAGTTGTTTTTTTTTAAATCATTATTTTAATTCTTTAATTCCCTCTACTCAATAACTAAAAATAAAGATATTATGGTTTAATTTATTCATTAACAACAAATCAAATTTTTATCTGCTTGAAATAGACTTATTTTTTTTTTACTTAAGAAACAGTTATCTACCTTGTATAAACAGTCAAAACTTGATACTAACCTATTATATTTTTTTATTCTTAATGAAATGTCGCATTTCATGCTTTTAAACAACCGTAACAATTTGTTTCATTCAGCATGATGCAAAAATAATGGTTAATTTTGAAATAAATAAAACTTCTAGGATTGTTTACTTTTTTAAAAAACTTACAAATGAATAAATCTACATAATAATGCACTTCATCCATTACCTAAATTGTAAATTATTTTTGGCTTGAAATCAAAATCTGAAATGTTTTAAATCATATTGCATTTTGTCCCCGATACTAAAAGATTAGAAGTGGGTGATAAATATTCAGGTCACAGTCATTACAAAGTTTTTAAAAGTGCCGACATTTCAACCCAAACATGTGGGCCATCATCAGAAAAATTGTTTAATACATTCAGGAATATAATATTATAAGACATAATGGTTAATAATAAAAAAAAATAGTGATTGATGATAAATGAAGTATGTAAAAAGTCATATGTTTAGGCCGTTACCAATTGCTAACTATTGATAGGATATTTATCGATATTACCATTTGTTTAGGTCATTAATTTTATTTTAATTTTACACAAAATTATAAATAGTAAATTATGACTAGTAAGTATTTTCGTTTTGTTTTAATTTAAGTTTAATTTACTCAAAAACATATATGTATATGAATCGAGAGAACTTTATTATATAGCTTAATTTGAATGTAAAAAAACAATCACCTATCTTATGGACTAATGGATGGTCCCCCTCCCCCCTACAAGCTGAGGCTCTATGAATGGAGATCTTTTTTCTCTGGCCAGCTAGATGCTTAGAGAATTGAGTGAGCATCTCCCTTTAATTAATATACGCAGCGTCTACCATCACTTGTATTTACCTAAGCCAGTGGTTACTTTACTGTATATCTTTGTTGGTGCCTCTACGTTCTTCAGCTGCCAGCTGGAATAAGAAGAGATTAACCTCCAACAGTAAATCCGGTAAAATCATGCCTGATTATTCTTTATTTATTATGAAACCAAACCTTTTATAATAGAACACCGTCATAGTTTAGACGCTTCACCTTAAATTTCCAAGCGAGAATCACCTCATTTTTTTTTTTTTTGGAATGCAGATAATAGACATTGCTTAGTTATGATTTTTTAATGAAATTTACAACTATGAAAATAAAACCAGTAAATATGCACACATCAGAAATAATGACATGAACCGACTTGAAGAGATACTACCCAGTGGTAACACTCCCTAATTATAATTAATTTCTACTTTACATTATGTTTATTAGTTCCCAAATTTATATCACTATAAATTTAATTTGTTGTTTTTCCTCAAATAATTAATTTCAAAGTTCTTCCCTTTTTTTTCTTTATTAATATTATTAATTTTTTTTTCTGAGGAAAATTTCTTTGTTTACATATGTACGTATGATTATAATTTGTATATAGTTTATATGTCATTGTAATTTTGTATAGTTTAGATTAATTGTACATTGTAATCTGTTGATTCATAATTAAATTAATATATTCTTGTTTTCCAATTACTTGATATTCTTTTTTCCTTTCTCATTTTGTTTACCTTATTTATTTTGTTTTAAGCGTTCATCAAATGACTGGCACTTATTGAAATGGGGTTGAGAATATGTTCGTATATTTTACAACATTGCTCTCGCCATCAGTTATACCATTTTTCAGCCCTGATGATGACCCACATGTTTGGGTTGAAATGTCAGCTCCAATAAAAACTTTATAATGAATGTGTCCTGAATATTTATCACCCATATGTAGTTTGTTTTTTTCTGGAGTTTCTTATACATGAATTTGGTAGGTGATGCATTTTAAAATATGTATTTAAAAATAATAAAAGTTATATCCTTCATGTTTGGATAATCACTTTTGAATTGGGTAATCAGCAGTGGATGGAGCTCAGAGGGAGAACTACCATAATCATTAGAAGAATTTAATGATTATTGTAGTAAGTTATAGTGCCCAGTTTGTCTAGTAATGACATAGTACAATGTTGAACATTGTATTTTCGTGGCTTCACTTTTTTAACAAAAACAAAAGAGATTGAAACTATAATAATGAAAGTGATGAACTTTGAAAAGATTACTGATGTACTTATATGAAGAAGGGTGCTGTATATTAAATGTGATTTGCCATACCTGAATGTTTTTATTATTATTTTTATTTTTTGCTATATTGGATAGACTGTTGAATGAGTATATGTAAATTTTAAAAATTACATATTGATCTTAAAAATTTTATTAATTTCAAGTGATTTTTTTTTTTGGGTGGGAATTTAATATTAAAAGTTGTTATTAAGTAGACTAATCGTAAATGTTTCACTGTCAGTTAATGTTCATTCCAAGATTTATTTTTCTTCTAACTTCCTTCAAATGGTGAGGTTCAGGATTAAGAGTATGAACTCTACGGTCTTTCTGAGATCCTCCAAACCACCGCAGAGCTTCATCGCCAAGCCATTGGGGTTTGGCCAAATTCTAACATTTATTCTTCTCATCCACTCTTTATTATGTTATTGTATTTTTTACATTCAGTTGTATTTGTTAGGGGAGAGGAATGTTTTATTTGTTACTCTGTTTATTTGTCTATAATAAAACAAATGGATACAATTTTATTTATTTAATTATAAGAAACATTTCTGTTTTAAAATCTTTAATGGGTACTCAAACAAATTAAAAAATAATTTAAATTTTATTTTTGAATGTAGTTAATTTCAAAATTATTTGGATAATAATTTTATAAACATAAAATTTTATGAAGTAATCCTACAATCAAAAACGTACAGTGTTTTGAAGATAAACTTACTAACTTTTAGTTCAATTTGTAGTTTATATCCAATAATTGTTTAACTAAGAGTTTTTGTGGAGTTTAGTGTGTGACTTTGGTTTTTCTATATTCTGTAATACTCACAAATGGTAGTACAGATCATAATTGACAAATAGAACATAATTACAGGATAATAACAGATAGCAGGTGGGATAAGCATTAGTCCCATACCAAAAGGGATAGTTATTTGTCCAATTTGAAATATATATTGTAATATAACAATGGTTTTGGTCATTTTTGCATTTCTCATTTTCATTTTATACACATTAGGAATACTGTTAAGATATTAAAACACCACTCAAGAGCATCACACCCCTTAATACATTAAAATATGAATACTTTTCTTTAGTGCAACACTAATACTTCTGTTTAATATGACTTACCAAATCCAGGTTTCCATCCAGTATAAATCTTACATTGTTTATAGATTAACCCTGAAATTCTGAGTTAAGCCTAATTATATCTTGCTTTGCTATAAATGGCACATTTCAATAATAATTGAAAGAAAATTAGGTTGGAAATGAAAGTAAGAAAACAAAATATTCTAGAAATAATGAATGAAACCCTACTTACATCATATAGAAGGTTATACAAGTAAAAACACTATTCAACAACTGAAAAATTATAATGTGGTTTACAATATGTTCAAAAACAAAGTATACAAAAAATGGTCAACAGCAATATATATAAAATAATTTAAAATTTTTAATATACAGACATAAATTAATTTTGCATGAATTTATGTACAATATAGACTAGATAATGGATATTATACAACTTGTCCTTTAAGGCTTCTTACTCTGCATTATTTAATCTGCAAATAATATTAAAAGATATAATTAATTGATTATTGTATAACAGATAATCAATTATCATGCAATTAGTAAACATATGATGAAACATATGGTCACCAGAGATAGTTTAAAATTTTGAGTAAGATAGAATATCTTCAGAATTACAATTTTGCTACATGAACAATAAAAAAAAAATGAATTACAATACAAAGAAAAATAACAAAATAAATGTGATATATTTGACAAAATACATTGCATTAAATTTTCTGGAATTGTTCCATAGAAAACCTTTGTTTAAATTGAACAGAATTTGAATACAATTGATAAATTAGACAAAGAATAAATTGTTGATGAAACAGCCAAAATATTAGGGATTGGTTAAAGTATAGTTAAGATGGAAAAATAAAGAAAAGCTAAATAAATTTGCATTAAGTCTATCACTGGAATAAACACTCCTCGATAGCAAGTAAATTTTTAAAATACCAACATAAGAGTAACTTGATGTAACATTATGCGTATGGATAGTGCAACAAGCATGAAATTAGATACAGTGCAATGTCAACATTTTAAAAATTACAGAAAAAAGTCAGGTTAATCAGGGGTAATAACTTTACAGACCATTTCAAAGAGTTTAGTTGGAATTTCCATGAAGGCAGAGACATTTAAGGAATTTAAATGAAAATTTAAGATAGTAATTATCGATTATTACTAATTATTTAAGCATCACATAATACTAAGAAAGTGTTAAGATAAATCATGTAGAAAAATATTCTAAAGTAGACGTCTTTTTTAGTTCTAGAAATAAGAATAGATAGTTTGATATAACATTTCAGTGGATATGATAATTTTGTAATATGAAATGAAAACCCAGTTGAATTCATTAGAGCATCCACTCTGTAGTTGCCATAAGAAAAAAAATTAACAGAAAAAGACAAAAGGAAGTGTGTAATGTATAGAATGTTGTGTAAACTCTAATAAATTCATAGATCAATCACTTACCAGAGTTTAATAACGATCAGGGCTATAAATAATACTGTAAATGTAACGGCGAGTATGAATATACAAAAAAGTTTCTTATGACTCTCTGAAACAAACAACCAATTTCTTACAATACAAGAATTTCATATTAAACACAATACTAGTATACTGGTTATATATACTATATATACTTTGATACTGTGCAGCTTTGGCAATCTTTTGAGTACCACGGCTGATTTGGTTTTGAGCTTGCTCTACATGATAGTCTATCCTGTCCAAAATTGTACCCTACAAAAAATAAAAATTATAAATCACTACTCAATAAGACACATGTTATAAACTAATAAAATCAATTATGTACTTGTACACATTAGTATTAGTATATTTATTAAAATTATAAGTTTTTGGCCATGGCATGCCATAGAGATTAAGAAAATTATCTTTAAATCAGCTGTTGTAAAAAAATATTAAGACTAACAGTCATAAAACATTGTATAACAAATAAATTATAAAATTGATTATGTTTATTTAAGTAAAACTATTATTTTAAAGAATAACTATTTAAAACCAATAAAAAAAATATATCTTCGCATATTTTCTGAAGCAGTGCTTTGGACTACCACAGAAAGAGTAGGTAACATTTTAAAAGTAATCAGGGACCCAATAAATAATATTTATTTAGAATAGCAACTCATTAGTACCTATTCATAACTTTTTCTTCATTTTAATAATCGGAAAAATAAGAATGAATAGTATAACAGAAATACCACTGAAACATTTGCAATGTCCTATAATGGAATAAATAATGACAGCAAAGTTTCCAAGATAATGAAAGTTGGTATATAACAGTAGCTGATACAGGATAACTAATAGTAGTATAAAAAAAAAGTAGGACATTATGAGGTCGATCAAGAAATAGTTAAAGCAGTTATGTGCTAAGTTAGCCCAAGATACGAATGCCACTGAATCAAGTATGGTAACTTTAGCACAAATAATTTTATATTCCTCGATATACACTTATACAGTTATTTCTACATGCTAGACTAATGTACACATTTCTTGAACTCTGTCATTATTTTTAGGAGATTTTAGTCGCAGAATAAAATTATTTTTTTAATTTGTTCATTCATTCCTACACTGGTGGTGTTGGCATCGAACCTTCGGGTTCGCTAAGCCTTTTATTATTATTCCTACACCACAGCAGGTACCTAAAATATTGTTAGATGAACTTTCTATGACAGAGACAAGAACAGAAGGTTATAAGAGATCGAAAATTTGTATCTTATGTTAAGGTCTTAATAATTATATATTAAATAGTACGTCTTGACTGTTTTCAAAGCAAGAAACACCATTTGACTAGATTATCTATAATATAATATAATAGTCATACCAGCGTACCTGATCAACAATCAAGCGAGACAGATCTAGATACAAGTCTCTCAGTTCAACAAATGACCTCATAATATTCTCAACTTGTTTTTCATCAACTCCTACAGAGAAAAAATATTTATTTATTAATATTGTTGGTTAGGACTTCAATTATATATCTATAATAATAAACAAACCCAATGCTTTACCCAAATATTTCTTTAGAGAGAAACAAAGTGGATACTACTTTTTTGCACTACAAAAAACCCTTATATAAAATCAACGAAAAATACAAAATTTTTGCCTACCTTAAATGATAATGATGGGCCTCCAATTTTTATTGATTCAACAAATTTGCTCCTGACTAGCAGTAGTAGTCAGGGAAAAGTAACTTCAACAACATAGAATTGTGAAATGTAAGTATTTCTGAAGTTTCCAAAAAGAAATGTGTAAAACAATTTATAAATCTTTTTCAGTCTTATTTCTAGTTCACCAGAAATCTAATTTAAACCATAAATTCATACCATAATCAAAGTGAAGAAAAATGAGTGAGAAAACAATTAGTTGGCAAGGGTATTTATGAAGGAGATGCATGGAATGTTAAAACTGCCTCAGAATAGAGATATTGAAAGACACACAGACATTTGACTTCAAGGCAAATTTAACTGATAACTCAACTAATGTTTATAAAAATGTTTATACATTAATACCAAAGTTTGTTTAATGATTATAACAAAATTCGAACACAATAAAAAATCAATGGCAACATTCATCAATCAATAGCAATTTATTTATTGTTATAACAATCAAAATAGTTATAAATATAGTAATTAATATAATGTAAGATAACATTATTTTTTAGCAAGGGGTTACAAAGTCACAGAGGATCAATATGGCTCCTGAAATAATAAGTCTATGCTTCACAGCTATAGAGGCACTGTGAAAATGAAATTGGTAAGTATAATAGTTAAAGTTAATGCAATTTAGAGAATTATAAATTATTACAATAAATGAAAGATAATAATAATTTAGTAATACAGTAACAGAATAACATCACACAGCTAAGATGGTTATAAAGCATCTTACTTAAGACAAACTAAAATAGATAAAATAGTTATGAAATAATTAATAAAATTTTCTCCAAAATGTAAAATACATATTTATAGATTTAAACAGTGATGATAAATCGTTAAAATACATTTAAAAAATATTGATAAGGAAATCAAAGTAATGAAAATAGCACTCGACAAGAAAAAAATTTTTTTTATTTTTTTTTTATAACCTCCTAACTCTCATTTTCTGGCAGACGGGAAAGGGAGGAGGGTTGTTTTATAGATAAAACTAAACTTTTTTTAACTACACCTCAACACACTCGGCCATTAGAGCCTCCATAATTTATCATTAATGTACAAAAAATATAAAAATAAAATTAAGGTGAAAAATATACATACCTCTCTGCTCAATAGATTGTTGAACCAAGTTTATTTCACCCCAGTCTTCTTCAACTGTTTCAGTTTCAAAGTCAAAATAGGGTTTGGATCTTTCCTCCCTAGATTTCACCACTAAAAACCCACAAATATAAAAAAATTATATTAATTTATATGTATATATACACACATATATATATATATATATATATATATATATATATATATATATATATACATACATATATATATATATATATATATATATATATATATATATATATATATATATATATATATATATATATATACATATATATATATATATATATATATATATATATATATATATATATATATATATATATATATATATATATATACATATATAAATATATATATATAAAAACCTGTACTACTACAACCCATGAAGGGTCTTGGATTCAGTACTATTTAGGGAAAGTACTGTTACAAGGCCAACGGTTGTGCAGAGAGGAGATCGGCCAGGATCACTCTCAACCGCCAGGTTTTTTCGCTTAATCAATTATTTAATAAAGGTTACCCACTTTGCAGAGGCTGGGTTTGCCTCAGGAGGGTTGCCCAACCCCAGGGTCGCCCCACGGCCAATGGAACAGAATAAATAAATTTTCTGCCATGAGCCGGGATTCGAACCTGGGACCTTGGGCATTGGAAACTTAGTGCCCTACCACTAAGCTACCCCACTCCTTTATGATTTATCATTTCTGTAAAAAAAATATAAAAATAGAATTAAGGTGAAAAATATACATACCTCTCTGCTTCATAGATTGTTGAACCAAGTTTATTTCACCCCAGTCTTCTTCAGATGTTTCAGTTTCAAAGTCAAAATAGAACTTGGATCTTTCTTCCCTAGATTTCACCACTAAAAACCCACAAATATAAAAATATAATATTAATTTATATATATGGCGAGCAGAGTAGCTCATTGGGTGAGCACTGACTTCCACTGCTCAAGGTCTCAGGTTCGAATCCAGCTGATGACTAGTACTTTTTCATCAGCCGTGGGTCGACCCTGAAGCTGGGAGACCCTCCTGGGGCAAACCCAGACAGAATTAATTAAGGGGGAAAAACTGACGGTTAAGCGTGATTTGGCCCGTCACCTCCCTGCACAACCATTGGCCTTATACTGTTACAACTACTTCCTCACACTGTACTGAAACCATAACCCTTCATGGGCTGTTAGTGGTAAAGGTTTTGATTTTTTGTGAATTTTTGTTTGTTTTTTTTCGAAATAAGGGCCATTTTCCTATATGAGTAGTCTTTTATTACACTCCCCTAAGTAGAGTTTTTCAAAATACTATCAATTTTATGTTAAACTTTAGGATATCGATTTACTGTACCTATTCGGATTTATTCGATATAAGGGTTAGACCCTGTACTAGGTACAGTGGTCGGCAAACTTATTAGCCAAGAACATTACAACAATTTTTTAAAAAATTGGGAGCCAAATCTACTTGTTTAGTAAACTTTTATTACAGTAAATTTTATTACACTAAATATGTAGTACACTAAATAAAACTAAATTTCATACTTAATAAATATTTATTAATGCGAACAATGTTCTTGCATCTCCTTGGAAAGTTTGAGTAAGTCAGGTTTGTATGTTGTTTTTAATTTTAGGCATGATTCCAACTTCTCATCAATAAGACGACTTCTCAGTTTACTCTTGATAATGTTTATACTTGAAAAAGATTGTTTGCATATATATGTAGAACCGAAAAGGGAAAGAACAGCAAACGCGAGCTTTGTCAGCTGATCGTAAGAATCAGGAATACTATTCCAAGCCTTAAAAATGATCATGTCTTCCTTCTCCAGGTCATTCAAAGCAGACAACTTGTGTTAACTAAGATCACATTTTTTTTTCTCTAATATATCCAATTCAACACAAAGACATTCGAATTGAAAGCGCCATATCTCTTTGTTTTTTAAATGCAGCAATTGTATTTCAAAGCTACCAAAGTCAATTTCAAAAGGAGAAAATTTCAACTCGGTTATCGTAGCATTAAGAGGATTTTTGACAAATGCTAAAGTTGCTCTGCTGTTTTTAGATTCCTAAAACCTGCTGATAAATGTTTTATCAATAATAATTGATTAATAAGACAGGACAATGGCAAACACGGTAGATAAGACTAAACTGTTCACACTGTAACTGCTGGTCTGTATTGCCAATTTGTACAATTTCGACATACAAAAAATTTCAGCCAGTAGCTTGTACATGGTTTGTGTTTACATTTATGAAAAATAATAAAATTAAACTCGATGTTTGTTACGTATTTTTACAACAATATAAAATTTTAATTACCTATCTATCTTTTAACTTCAACAAAAAATTATACATGTTCTCGATTTATAGAAGAATTTTAATTTATCAAAATAAGATGTAATTATTTTCTTACCAAGTTTTTTTTAAATGAAAATATTATTGCGCCTTCCGTGGATATTTGTGCCAGAGCCGCACTTAAGGAGCCAAAGAGCCACATGCAGCTCTTGAGTCGCAGTTTGCCGACCACTGGTCTAGTATAATGTCCATTTTAAGATTACGCCACTGTGTTTCGACTTATTTAAGTTTCTCGGATTTATTCGATAAAAGGGAGTATTCTTATGTTTCCGGAACCGTAGATATTGAAAATGACATCCATTTAAAGATGACGCCACTGCGTTTCAATTTATTTAATGTTTTCGAATTTATTCGATGTAAGGCTCTATTTATATGTTATCTAAGATCTAGTTTCTGAAAATGACCTTCATTTTAAGATTGTCACTTTTTTAAGGTTTATTTAAGTTTTTTGCACTTATTAGGTATAAGGATTTACTTATATGTTATATGTTATCGGAGACATAATATTTGAAATTTATCTAATTTCTAATATATAAATTTATCTAATATTCAATCTCCATTTCAAGATTATGCAACTGCATCTCGATAAATTAAGCTTTATTTTGGATTCTTTCAATACAAAGTTTCATCAGTATGTTTTTGAGTATGAATAAACAAATATTATGAAGCTAAGGTTAAATTAACCACAAAACACAAAGTAAAAAGCCGAAAAAGCAACTGGTAATAAATTTAACCTACCATTTTCAGATTTGTCAGCTCGAAATTCTTATCTTATAATTTTGTAAGAGGATACCGCATTATTAAAAAGAAATCTAAAATTAAATTTAAAAATGAGACGATAGATATTTTATTTATTTCAGCTGAAAAATAAATTAATCCTTGATATTTTTTTAAATTCGAAAGAAAAAGAAAAAAAATTTTAAAAACTGAACACAGTTTTCAGACAGTAGTCTAATCTTAGACAGTTAGACAGTTTAGACAGTAGTCTAATCTTAAAATGGAGGTCATTAACAAAATCTAAGTCTCCGATAACATATAAGTATATAAGATTTTCTAAATCTACGGCTCCAGAAACATAAGAATACTCCCTTATATCGAATAAATCTGAAGAAGTTAAATAAGTCGAAACGCAGTGGCGTAATTATAAAACGAAGGTCATTTTCAAAATCTAAAGCTCCGGGAACGTAAAAGTAGAAACTTATATTGAATAAGTTTGAAAAACGTAAATAAGTCAAAACGCAGTGGCGTAATCTTAAAATGGTGGAGGTCATTTTCAAAATTTACGGCCCTGAAAACATTTAACTAGACCGTTATATCGGATAAATTTGAAAAACTTGAATAAATCTAAACATAGTGGCCTAATTTTAAAATGGAGGTTATTTTCAAAAACTACTCATACAACTGGCCCATACCTCGAAAAATTAAAAATAATTAAATAAATAAAAAAAGGTTGAATTTGAAATGGAAAAGGTTTAATTTGAAATGGAAAAAGTTTAATTTGATTTGGAAAAGGTTGATTTTGACTTGGAAAAGGTTGATATTGACTTGGAAATGCTATATATATATATATATATATATATATATATATATATATATATATATATCAATCCTATTAAGTTATACACTCCCTATAAAAGTGATTTTTGTATACTCGTGTAATTCCTATTTAAGAATGCTTTTACAAATTTCGGTGGTGTTCTGAAGAGTGTAAGAGCAGCTGTGAAGGAATACATGAAGAAGTATTTCGTTGGAAGTTTGCAGCCGTTATCGCTAAAATCTTCAAGAAATTTCCTGTCAGCCCCCTCTTCTGTCTCAGTCTCATCACAAGCAGGTCTCCAGCAAAATGGCCGGTGAAGTATTGGATTTAAATTACGCTATCAAGACTTTAAAAGAGGTTTTGGATTACAATCTCTTGAGAAAAGACCTGCGACCGAAGGTAGGAAAAGCTATCGAAGTGATGGAAAAATATGTAGGTAATCTTTGTGACCAATCATTTAGTTTGGAAATCGGGGAGGTTATTAAAAAAGACAACCTCTCTTTAAATAACAAAATTAGTTACTCAGCAGTTGCCCAAAGGGTTGTAATGAAAGCACAAAACCGAACAGCCCATAAGGCAATTATTAAACCTAAAATATCATTAGAACCGAATGAACTTTGTAACGAATTTAAGTCTTTAGTAAATCCAAAAGATTTACACATAAGTTTTCAAAAGGTTGTAGAAACAAAAAACGGATCATTAATAATACAGACCGACAGGGAGAAAGATCTCAACGAAATTGCTCAAACTATAAAAGGCTCAAGAAAAATATCATACCATAAAATAAATAAAATGAACCCTCGTGTTGTTGTGAGAAACATTGAGGAAGAAATAAATTTACAGAATATAACCGACTACATAACTGCTCAAAATGATGATATTCATTTACAAAAGGATAAAATAAGACCTGTGATTATCCTCACTACAAGAAAGAATAGTAGTCGGCATGCTGTTTTGGAGGTTGACGCGGGAACTCGAGAATTGCTATTATATAATAAAATCAGCCTCGGACATCAAAAGGTGAGAATTCAGGATTATTTCCAAATAAGAAGGTGCACCAAGTGCCTTAAATTTCACCATAGAAGCAAGGATTGCAGAGGGACGATAGCATGCTCGAACTGCGGAGGTCAACACGCGGCTAGTGACTGCACTTCTCAAGAAATGAAATGTATCATTTGTCAAAACTACAACAAGTTCACTAAAAGCCAAAAGAAGCGCCCCACAGAACATTCTGTATTTGACCGAAACTGCCCGTCGTACTTGACAGAAATACAGAAATTGGCATCTAATACCAACTACAACATCCCTCTACAGTGAGTAATTAATAACCATAATATATACATATTTCAAAATATTATTGGGGACTGTAAACAATTAATTTTTAAGGATGGTACATAGACAATTAAACATGTTACAACTCAACACACATCATTCAAAATGCACATTGAACATGCTACAACAGTATATAAAAATGAAACAAATAGACGTTTTATTAATCCAAGAACCTTATACAAGATTAAATAAAATTGTAGGTTATAATCAGTCAAGGGTTTTTCAAACAATAGGAAGCAATCCCAGAGCTGGAGTCGTTGTGACCAATAAAAACATTGATGCCTGCATGATATTGCAACATTCTGATTGTGATTTTGTTTGCATAGAAATATCATACAGTGAATTAAAATGTATAATAATATGTGCTTATTTTGATATCACCCGAAACATAAATTTGGATTTACAAAAAATAGAACGCGTTTTGGATTATTTCAAAGATTCTAATATCATTATTGGATTGGACTCCAATGCAAGATCTAAATATTGGTTCGACAAAAAAACTAACGAAAGGGGTAAAAATATGGAAACTTTTATTGTTGAGAAAGATTTGTTCTTAATGAATATAAATTCCGAACTAATGACTTTCCAAGGGCCGCGAGGCAGTAGTAATATTGATTTAACATTATCTAATACAAAACTGATTAGACATAATATT